TTTGTTTTCCTCACTATCTCTGAATAGAGTCGGTGCCTCGGGTATCATGTTTAAATTTTCGGTGGTGAAAACTGTTGAAAAATATTCATTCAAATTATTGCTCATTTCTCTGTCGTTATCAGTGAGCTCGCCGGTATCTGACCGTATTGGTTCAATCTTTTCTCGTGTTTTAGTTTGATACATTTGGTAGAATCCTTTGGGGTTTGTCTTCGCCTCCCTTGCTATCCTTACCTCATTATTCCTCTTGGCTTTCCTTATCTCGGTTTTAACCCTACTCGCCAATACCCTATAATAATCCCGGAGGTAAATTTCGCCACGATTTATCCTTCTACCTATAGCCTTCCTTTGGCCAATGATGTTCTTTTAGTAATTATTTATCCACTTAGGGTCATTGTTGTCTGATCTGAGTTTTTTGTATGGTACGTTCTGCCTTTGTGCAAGCGGTGTTAAGCCACTGCACCTATTCTCTCCTCCTAAAATTCACTTCAATCCTCCCTTTATCCTTCCCCTGAACCTCCTTCCCCCCTGTCACTAGCATTTTATGTATGTATGTCGTCCGCGTAGGTAATATTCCTACAAATCTAAAAAAAAAAAGAAAAAAAATGTCGTGAAGGTCATTAAACTCAACGCTCTCAAACAGACAAGACCTCCTTTCAACAAGCTCCTCACCACACAGCAACTCGCCATTGTGAGTTTTCCTTCTCACCTCCATCCTTAGTGCGAGATTTCTTACGTGTACCTATGTATGTGAACCTAACAAAGAGAAATTTGACAACTGACCACATACAATACGCCACAAGGTAAAAGTAAAGTTAATGTTATTTTCTCACAGCCAGAAGGAAATACAGAAGACGCTTAGGTGTGACCTGTAGGTGGTATGGTCGCTGGACTTGGGCATCTCTGATAAGAGATAAGGCTGTATTTACTCTGCTCGTTGGACATGATAAATATGAGTTAGAGATCTACCATACTTTAGGGTTCAATCTAAGGACCTATTGTTAACACTATTGGATCAAATTTAGGCTGGAAATTATAGGTATTCTGGTACATGTACAGGGACATGCTAGATAGTTTATTTAAATAGGAAGCAACAGAGGAATAGCTAAATGTGCTGACACAAGCCTAACAGGCAGCGAATATCAATACCTAACTATAAAATGGGCAGACAAGGAGTGGGAGGGTAAGATGAGTCAGGACTCAGGGTATTCAGCTGCTGAGTTGTACTGCCCTTCCTATCAAATCCTATTAGTACCTGTATCTAGGCAGACGCGTGTGTGTGTGAGACCCGGACGTTTTATTTAGTATACGTCTACACTATAGTATCCATGATCGAGAAGTCCTACATTGATTGATATCAATATCTAATGGATAGTCTTTCATTTAGATCTAATTGCTCCTCTTGTCACTTAACACTGCATGTCCGTGTCCAAACCTACGAGTCGCTAGTTGTTTTATCATTTAGTAAACAATAAATCTCTCCGAGCCTTGTGATCTTTTATGTGTTTAAGATGACAGGCGGTCGAATCATATCTTTTACTTAAACTTCATTTTACATTGTGTTATTTCCAATCTACCAGAAAGAGTTGTGACGGCACCGAGTGTGAGCTCTTTCAAGACAAGACTTGACCAACACTGGAGCAGGTTCAGGAGCCGGTTCATGCCCAGTATTTGCGTGACAGAGAAGTGACCCATCGCCTTAGGGGCTAACGAGTCGATCAGTGGTGAAGAGAATTAAAGTAATACAACGTTATATATAAATGATGTACATATGTGTAAAATGGTCATTACGGCTGATCCAATTCAGTTCAAGAAGTCATTCAAAGTCATTGATTGTTATCAGTCAACTTTAAAAGGATAGTAAGTCTATACAAGCGTTTATAGGTCTTGTTATAATGCATATTAGAATTATCATAGTGACTTATTCACTATGATATTTCTAATATGCATTATAACATTGTATCTTAGATGGACGTTTTGAAATAGTATACACATCAAAGTTTGCAAATCGGATCTATCCCGTACAAGCACTCAATGGTGATTAAAGGTAGTGCATACCGTAATCACATTGTGTTTTTTATTAGTAATTAACTGAATATTTTAAGTGACTAACAAAACTCGAAGAGTCGAAGACAGTCAGTTTAACGTCCGGCAGGATTGTGTAACTGAGCCTGTAGAAACTCTCTTCTGCTGTTGATGCTAGTAGAAAAATTGCCCTATCAGGTTTATAGTCAAGAGTATTATTTATTGAAGAAACAATAATTACCTTGGCTTCAAGAATATCAGCTGATGGGTATACATTATAAAACAACTGTTCCCGCGTCCCGCTCCCCGGCAACACAACAGAAACACATTGCAGATGACAGCGGGTGTGTGGGGAGTGAGGTATGTTGTGTTCTTATTTTAATGTTTATCGACATTTATTCAATGCTACAGTTATAAATTAAGTAAATATGAGTAAGTGTAAGTAATAAGTGTTAAAGTAGTGCGTTAAGGTAGTAAGTGAAATTTATGGGTGATTTGCTGAACCAAGGGGTTTAAGTGGACGGATTGGTCAGTATTTGACGTTTTACAAATTGGTATTTCAGTGTTTTTGTAATTATTCTTTCATGTTGTTATATATTCACATCTCATTAGGCACAAAGTACTAAAGTCTGCTTCGCTGTAAGTCTTGCTTTATCAGTGCTTTAAATATCTTATTCATAATTAATGTCAATCGACTTACAAGCTGTAGTTGTTCAACGTTCAAAGGCAATAATTATTAGTGAGTGGCATGTGTTGCTATCACTTTTCATAACTTTAGAAATGTATACAGTGAGAGAATGGGTTAAAGTCTTTATCACTGCCTTTATTGTCTAGTGTTAGTGCAAGAGGAAACCCAAGTGCTGTACTGTAGGTACTTGGAGAAAATCTGTAAGGTTACACGGATAACATTTTTCTCACATCCAACCTGGGGATTTGAACATGCAACCACAGGGGTGAGAGGCAACCACACTACCACTACCACCAACACCTCACTGTGATAATATGCTATTGTTAATGGACATGAAGGAATATAATGGGAGGTCTTGAGACAACCGTTAAGAGTGTTGATATGAACTGAAGCTTTCCCTTTAAATAATATAATAGTGTATTAGCCAGAGACTTAAGAAGCTGAGCAAGTAAATTGGACCAATATTGTCAGGATTTGGCCTTTTGAGATCGAGCAAAGAAATGCCAGACAAAATGTTAAGAAGGTAACACAAGGAACTGATAAAAGAAACAAGATAGGCAGAGCTGACCATAAGAGTTGGCCGAGACTGCTGGTGCTGACACTACAGCACTATACTGGCTTGGAGATAAAGGGCCTCCACAACACCTGATATGGTAGATTAAACCTTTGGTTGTGATGGAGGGAACACACACATAAAACAGTATACAATACACAGTTACAGTAAACACATCTAAAATACATTACACTCCCATTCACCCAGCATGGTTGAGGCTGAGGGTTTACTAGAAATACAGTTTACTGTACTGTACTGCAGTGTCCAAATGGTCCACCCAACAACTTAACCTATCAGCACATTAGGGTTAAGGTTTCATTATCATTTTCCATTGGCACTAAACTTTTCTCAGACTTGGGTCCTAAGGGCTCAGAAGTTCTCATGAATCCTGTCTTTTTTTTTTACCCACTCTATTGGAAAATGAAGATTACTTCCTGAACTCAAGTGATGTGGCATCAAGATTCAGATACATTGATTGGGGTTTATTAAGGTTGGAACCTATCTGGGACAAAAGCATGTTATACAAACTGGAATTCATTTTTATTTTTGAGTTTACATGATTTATACTGGAGAACATTTTTGTGACCATGAATCTTAACCCTTCTTTCACTATAGAAACACAACTGATTTACGATCTCTGTTGTTTACAATCCTTGAGATCTGTTGAAGCATAACCCCATGAATTTAACCCAGTGTCACCATACCAAGGCTTCACACCATTTAGCCTTCAAATGTTAAAACTCAAGTCTAACCCATAGAAGTAACAGCTACCGGTATTTTATCAGGAAAATCATGTTATACTGTAGTGCTGTGCCCATGGACTGGGTGTGAGATATAGCAGCTGGTGTATAATTTTTGTCATTACTGTACAGTACACTTGTACTATACAGTATGTAAACAAAACTACCTGTTCTTTCTTACATATTTTTAACAGAAGACAAAGTGTAAGTTGGGAGAATTTGATAATTAAATTATGTTGTGGAACCAGTCCTCTTTTATTTTTATTTATTTTTTACAGGGATTAGCCCACCCGAGTACAGGTCACTGACCCACATCGTCGCCTGGGGGCGAAAATGTAATAATTATAATAATTCAGATAAGTAAAATTTATAATAAAAAATACAGAAATAAAAATAATAATGATAATAATAATAACTGCAATAATAATAAAAATAATAATAATAATAATAATAATAATAATAATAAAAATAATAATAATAATAATAATAATAATAATAATAATAATAATAATAATAATAATAATAATAATAAAGAAATACAAAAATGAAAAAAGATCAAGAGTGAGAAACGATATACAGTATGTATGTTGTGTTGTCAATGGTAAGAGAAACAATTGAGACCCTGCAATTGTGTGTAAATGAGGCAGAAAGCCAGATCAGCAACCTGGGACTTGGTCACAATTTTTGTGATGCCATATGGCAGCAGGGTCTACCATTAGACAACACATTATGCTTCCTATATCTTCCCAGACGGTAGTACCTCCCCGTTTGGTAGCTGCCTACTACACCTTTGTACAGTACAGTACTGTACTTGTACATGGAAAATGTGTATTTTTTTTATTGTTTAGGTATGTATGCAGGTACTGTACTGTGTGTACATGCGCTCATGAATGCATGTGTACGTGCATAAAAAAAGATCTTAGTGTTATCAGAAGTTCTTATCTTTCAAGTCAGAAGGTTCATGATGAACATCTGCTCTTAATCAGAAGATTTTTGTTAGTTGAGAACTTGGCCTTGGAGTGTGTAGCTGCATCTGTAACTCTGACGTTCCCATTGATGACCAATTCTTTTTATTGTTATTTTTACAGAAAGGACAAACTATTGATATCTTGTGTGGTGACTCAGGAACAATTTGTTCTTCACAGGGGCAGGTCTTCCAGCAATAACAATGGATGTTGAAACCAACAGCGACAGTGGAGCTGCTTATCATGACACCAGTGTACCACCACCCCAGGGTGTCTCACAATTACCCAGAAACCAGAAATTCAATGATGTTCCTCAAAGCATTCCAAAGATTGATGATAATTCACTAACCAATCAGAATATTAGTAATGTTCCCCCAAGTAGTCAAACATCAGATGATGTTTCAGTAATGAGTCAGAAAGCTGAAGATATTTCTGTAAGTGGTCAGAAGGTTCAGGATATTTCAGTAAGCAGTCAGAAAGTTGAGGATGTGTCTCTAAACAACACCAAAACCAATGATGTCTCATTGAATGGAGAAATAACTGAGAAGATACAGGCAGAGGATAATAACAAGAGTAAGACAGAACAAAATGGATTACAATTAGATGATAAATCTGTTGTGCAGGAAGAAGTAATTATACAAAAAGAAAAGGAGGCAAATGAAGAATCAAGTGAAGCAAATTTGAGAATGAAGGAAGATGAGGAGCTAAGAAAGTATAATAGAAAAATACCAGAAGAACGATCTGCTGTGAAAAAGGACAAAATTGATGAGCATTTTGATAGGTATGTAGAAAATATACAGTTCAGTACAGTAGTTGAGTTTTTCCATAGGATTTCTGTAATGTATTCAAATACAGTACTTATTATGTGCACTTAAGATAACTTTGGCTTTCATGATCAGAGGTATAACAAATTGTCATTATGATATTATTTTTCAGTAAATCTAACAAAGTGCCATAATGATGTCTGGCTGCTTGTGTTTTAGAATAGTCTGCAATGTATAGTATACAGTATACTAGAACCCTTAGGAATTAAATAAACTTAGCCCTTAGGTGTATGTACTGTACTACAAATTGCTTGAGATGTAGTCCCTAGTTCATAATTCATGACTATTTAACAGGTTACCATGGGTGTTTGGAGCAATAGGTCGAGTCCTTAACTTGGGTGTCAGCTATGGACCACAATTTGCACCCATTAACATACCACTGAGACGAAGATTTCAGACGTTTGCCGTTCTGTTCTGGATGTCAACCTTCCTCTTCTTGGGTGCTAGTTCGACCCTTTTCCTGCTTTACCTCTTCTTCTATACTAAATATTGGTGAGTGTTTAATTTTCTTTATTTTGAAATGTTTAACACTGCACAAAGACATTACTAAATGACCAGAGGTATAAACATGGAGATTTTGGTGTACTGGGAGAAAAGTAAAGTCAAGTCTCAGTCTATGAATTAGATGCCATCCTAATGCCTGAAGCTTTGGCAACTACAGACTTCAACTTCAAATGTTTACTACCGGTAATCCTCTCAAATATTGCATCTTCATGATAGTACAGTACAAAGATCACCGGAGGAACTTTTAAACTGCACTGGTGGGAAATTCATCATTGTCATGGAATTGGCTACTGTACTATGCTTCCTACATTAAGGAGAAATCTATTTAAAGAAGGTTGGTAGTTTGAGGTTTTTAATTGAGGAACTAAGTGAATTTTGAAATGTGTGAAAATTATGAAATACCTGTGCTGTATTAAGAGTGTTATTAAGGTACTGTAAGTTGAAAGAATGATAATCAATTTTGAAAGAAGTTACTGTACTGTGCTGTGCTCAGAGTGAATTTTATTGGATAAAAATATCACAAGAATGTACAACAGTTATATACAGTAGGTAAAAGAGTGGTAGGACAGGCAGGTACTCAACCTAACCTATCCTGGTAAGGTATATATTGTAGGAGTATATGAGATTAGATTAGAAAGGCATACAGTGCAGTGCTGTACAGTACAGTACAGTTCAGTACAGTACAGTACAGTACAGTACAGTACAGTACAGTTCAGTACAGTTCAGTATGGGGTATTTAAATGTGGCATTCTGGAGGTTATCTTATCATGGCCACTTCTCTTCACCCTGGAGGTAATAATGCATTGGATAATTGGTGGCCATGCCATGGGAAGGCCAGTGGCCTATGTTGGATCCCTCCATTGTTCTTGATAATTTTGTCAAGGGCTATTTGAAGACCAGTACTGCTCTTGATTCCACAGCTTGGGCTGGTAGACCATTCCATAGGTCTACCAGCCTCTGTGTGAAAAGTTTTTTATATTCATTCTGTTTGATAACTTGGCAAGCTCGTAGTTGTGTCCTCTCGTGTTGGTGGTGCATGACATCACAAAGAAATGTTCCAGGTTCACGTTTTCCATCTCTTTCATGATTTTGAATACTATATTTCAATGAGATCTGTCCTGTTGTGCCTCGACTGAAGGGTTGTTAATTCAAGGTCATCAGTCTGTTTGGTTAATCAAGATGACGTAATTCCAGAATCATCTTAGTCGCTCTGTGTTGCACCTTTTCTAGGTGAGTTAGGTCTTTCTGTCATTTTGCCTGTACAGTTTACAGTAAGCCAGACTGGGACATATTTGAGATGTGTACAGTTGAAGGAGCATTTTCCTATCTTTGTCTCAAAGGTAGGCTCGATTTGCTTTTCTCACTGCTGCGTCGTCTTCAGTCAATGATATGTAATCACAATGCTAAGATCTTTCTCCTAATCGACAGTATCCAGGAAAGTGTTATTAATAGAAGAGTTGTGCTCTGGGTTGTTGTATCTTATATGTAAGGTCTTGCATTTCGTAATGCTAAAGAGTATATGCCAGTCTCGAGACCTTTTGAACAGCTCATGAGGTCTTCCTGCACTGTTGCGACATTGTCCCGACTTGCCACCCTCCCAAATATGTTCACGTTGTACGCAAACTTGACAATGTGGCTTGATATATTTTCATCTGTATCGTTTATGTAGATCACAAACAAGGTGGATCTAAGGATATAGAGCTCTGTGGTATTCCACTGGGAAATTTTTTCCATTCAGAATGTACATTCGCAACAAAAAGTATCGGTGCATACTGTAGTGTGAACAATTTGAGACCAGTGACGCTCGGTATTGGGAAAGGCGAGTTGTTCCAGCCGTATGTTGGCAGCCCTGTAATCCTGCTGAGCTGCTACTGTGGCCTGGTCAAGTGAAACAAACCGTTATAAATAAGGTCGAGAAGTGATAAATAAACAGTATGAAATATGAGGAGCTCCCTGTTAACAAAATTATTTCTGATAGTACCTGTGAATATTGCCACATTAATTTATGTTACCAAATAAACCACTCAACCTGGTTGTCCTGAGGGGTGGTGCAGCGTGAACGGCCGCTCCGAGACCTGTCGTCTGTAGCACCAGTTTCGAGGTATCGCCGAATCCATCGTGCAGCGGTGTTCCTGTGGACACCAACCCGCCGGCTAATATCTGGACGCCGAACCCTTCGTTATGAAGGGCAATAATAGCTCCTCGTGTTCCCTCTGAGGTTTCCGTGTCGTCTGGCATGTGTAGATCCCTACTGCTTCATATTGCCTCTGTTTTATACCCACGTTCACCGAGACTGAACCCTCGCTCATCATCCAGTCGACACAAAGCAACAATCCGAAAAGAGGAAACAAACACACTGATTGTCAGCCATATGGCAACACCTAGTGGAGGGGGGGGGGTGGTATGAGGATACACTTACCAACCTTCCCGACATATCACAGTGTATACATATTGTTTCGGAAGTCGTCGATCTCACCCTGCACCGATACTTTTGGTGCGAGTGTACTCCATTTATTACCACTCTTTGTTGCCTGTCTTCGAGCCAGTTGTTAATCCACGTCAAAATCTTGCCTGTGATGCTGTGTGCCTAGATCAAAGACTATTCGTGCATGTGGGACCTTGTCAAACACATTGGAGAAGTCCATATACAACACGTCATCGAGGAATTCCTCTCCCTCGTCTTGTGTGGGAAGATTCACCCAGCCTATTGTCTCGTGATTGAAGTTTCCCACGATGAGGGCTTGTGCTCTGGATGTTGTGTGGATGACTCTACAGTATGGTATATCTTACACAGATTTAGATTTTTATGCATTATAGTACAGTAATGGTTTTATATTAATTATTGGGTACCTTTATAAGTTATGCCTGGTAACAGAATAATTAAAAAAAAATTCTGGAGAAGCATTATTTATTAAATGATGTACTACTGTACTGTATTACATATTTTGCAGGTGGGTCTCCCTCTGCTACTTGACGTGGTTCCTGGGAGATCGCACCGTCTGTAACAGAGGTGGTAGGAGGTAAGTGTTGCTCATTTATGTAAGTTTATCAAAAGTTCAATTCACAGCTTTTGTCTTCTTAATGGTAAAACTAAGAAGTGAAAAGTATTACCCCCAAAATTTACTGTTGCAGACAAAATGAGATTAAAAAGTACTGTAATGTGGAACTTATACCCACAAAACTTGGATGAAATTGAAAAGTATTCCAATATCCATAATATTGTAAATGAAGTTAATGTTTTAATACACTACAGAATATTATAATAAACTATACTTTATTGCTGTTATGTTACACATGTGTTACATACTAGATCATTACATATTTTACCTGAACAAGTATTAATATTAATTTTAAATTGAGGTGTACTGTATCTCTTGAGTACAATATGGTTTACATTATTCTTCAGATGGTGTTTGGTTGTTCTCATGCTAGGCTTCCCATTGTCAAACTTCAAAACACACATCATATAAAATTCATGAATATATAAAATTTTGAGGCAAGTTGGGAAAAATCCAAAATCCTAGGATAATTTGGCATTTTATGATTATTTGATTGACCAGAGCACTGACAATATAGAAATAGCTAGGGTTCAGTGCATCTTGTTTTGACCGTTCTTTCTTCTGTATCAGTAGTTTAGGTTGATCAGTATATCTAGTTTGTGGACACCCTTACTTCTGTACTGTAGTGTACCAGTGTTTTAGGTTTGCTCAATCATTATGATCATCCATTTTACTGTGCCGACATTTCAGGTTTGAATGGTTGAGACGCTGGGGTCTGTGGAAACATTACCGAGACTTCTTCCCAATTCACCTTATAAAGACTGCTGACCTCGATCCTTCCAAGAATTACATTATGGGCTACCACCCCCATGGTGTCCTATCTGCTGGAGCATTTTGTCATTTTGCCACAGAAGGAACAGACTTCAGTAAGGTGGGAAATTACTTTCTCAGATTTGAATGATAATAAAAAAATGGGTCGCCATGATCTTTCAATTAATGTTATGGAAAAAATTATTTTATTTTCTTCCAACCACTGGATGCACTTTCAAATATGTTCAAATTCATATTATACTTCAAAAGGACTTTTTCCTATACTTCAAAAGGACTTTTTCCATGTTCATGCTTCTGAAATAGAATGCAGTGCCATTTTTTTTCAGATAGCAAAGTGGTACTGTACCCTGCTTTTTTGTGACAGTCTTTGTTATGTTTAGTACAAAAAAAGTAGATAAAGTATTTACTTCTTTATTTTCTCTGAAAACTGGAGGAGTGTATAATTGGTCCTTTTGTTCTGTCAGAATGCCTGTGTGTACTGTACTGCCTGTACACTATTTACATACTTCCATCCACCAGTATGTACAGTATTTAAATCCATCCATCATATTTATTGTTCACACAACTTTGAAACTTCTCAAGATAACTTTATTAAACAATTTACAAATACAGTGCTGTAATAAGAAAGATGTGTAGTGAACAACTCCCTGGTGTGATGAAGGTCAGGATCAGCAATCAGAGCCTAACAACCGGTAAATAGAGTGTAAAGCACCTACCCGGTAAGCATCTTAACTTGCACTCCCTCGAGAGATGTAGTCAGGGCTGAACAAAGGGGACATTACAAATGTACTTAAATTATCCAACCAGGAGCGAACTCGTAACAATGGTTTTAAATTAGAACAATTTAGATTTAGGCGTGAAATATGTAAACATTGGTTTGGAAGTAGAGTAGTGGACGAGTGGAACAAGTTACCAAACATCATCATTAACTCGAATACGCTGGATAGCTTCAAACACAGGTTGGATGGATATATGAGCAATAGGGGTTGGGTGTAAATGGGACTGCCCAGTATGGACGAATAGGACCGCTGCAGTTTCCTCCATTCTTGTGTTCTGGTGTACTTTAGATGCCTGTGCCAAAGGTCTAGGTCAAACTTTGTCTGACTCTAGAGCATACTGATAACTCTTACATAATTCTAGGTACCAGAATAAAACTTCTGGGCAAGACAATGGGAAAAAGCACCCAAATTCAAAGTTAAATTTATTGCTGAAGGTCAAAGGTCAAAAGTTTATCCCAAACATAACTTTTGTATTCATAGATGTATTTTGATGACATTTCAAATGAATACTGTACAGTACTTATTATCATTAGAAAACTGTAGAACACAAAATTCATGTCTGTCAAAGTTCGAGGTCACAGTTGTTGGTCCAGGTAAGTGCTATTTTATCATCTTTTTCATTTTCAGAGAATGTTGGTGATTGTAAAGCCCAGTTACTTTGAGCTTTTTATTTTCTTTCTACGGGTGAAAGTTATTCAATTCTTTGGTATATTGTTTGAGAAAATATGATACTGTAGTTGTAAAAAAGGATCATTTAATTGCTGTTTTGTCTGTCCTGCATTTTGTGCCCGTCTTAATAATTTTATTCCAATAAAAGTTTTCTAATGATTATTTAAAAAAGGTTAATGTCAACAAGATGATGTGTCACAAACATCCCCCAGATGACTGATCTTGAAGAATATGGTCAAACTATGGGATTCAAGGTCGAAAATTGGCATTTTTGTGTCTGGTCTAACACTGTTTGGGGAGCATTCATCACATATACATATATTCTTGTACAGTATTAGAATTTTGGCAAGTTATAAATATTAGTGTACTGGTGCTTCCCTGTATTGAGAGACGAGAAAATTTTGTTTAAAATATTGGCTTTTGGGTTTGGGATGGAACATCCTTCACTGCTTTCTGTATTTATTAACTGTGCATGTTGTTAACAGATGATAAAATCTTGGGAGGTATTAAACAATGCTTGGTTGAAAATTATCCTTTCTGCGTTTGAATCTGTCTCAAGGTGAAGGTCATCATCCTCTGCTTCATCTGAGTGAAGCTTGACATGGCTACTAATATACTTTTCTTATTTATTGCACTGCTACCTCAGAGGTTCCCAGGATTCACACCTTATCTGCTAACACTGGAGGCACAATACATTCTTCCTTTCTACAGAGAATACTTCATGTCCACTGGTTAGTACACTCGAGTAATATTAGGAATGCACTCTTTTGAAACTCGCTTCATTAATTCATGTTGTGTGCATCTATCACAACAGACTTTCCCGGGCTGCATTCCTCACCTGCTTACTTTGGAAGGCCATTTCCTCCTCCCCTTCTACCGAGAGTTCTTCATGGCCTCTGGTTAGTACTTTTGAGTTTGGAAGACCAATATACAGTATCTTTGATTGGATCTTCCTGTGATAGGCATTATTTGCTGTATTGCTTAAGGATTTGTAGTACAGTACAGTATATAACAGTATTTGCTCCACCTGTTTATGAGACAGTTTGTAGCCCATAGTAGAGTACTGTAGTACAGTATTTGTGTTTGTATAACTTGTTTATAGAGCAGCATATGATGTGCATGATTGATAAATGAGAAAAATTTATATTCATCAATTTGGCATGCATGACTTAGGCTTTTTACATCTTCAGGTATGAAATATTCTGTTTTCTCACAACTTATTTAGATTGAGCTTCCTGTTTATATGATTATTTAATACAGATGTTTTGTAATATTAATATGTCATCATTTTGAAGATTTTAAATTGTACACATAACTTAAATATAAGTGTTTAGTTTGTTGTTAAGGTCTTATAGTAAATGATTTATGGGTGTAGTATTTACAAATTTTAATAGAAATTTGGCAATTAAAATATGATTAGTGTGAAGATGCACTATTTGATATATTGTGAATAAATCCTGTTTCACAAGGCCTTGCATGGATTACATTTTAACCACATTTGTTCTCAGGTGACAACTTTCAGAATTTGTAACTGGACAGCAGCTTGTATCACCAGCATGGGTTCCTCTTTGCTTTATGGTGTCAGTCACTCCCCAGATCACATACTGTCACATATTTAGGAAACATAACTGATTGGCTAATGAGGCTGTTATTAGAGACACAATATGGATGACATTTGTTGTATGGTTAGAAATACATAGCAAAGCAGTAATTGAGAGTAATGAATGAGAGGCAAAGAGATGGTAAGGAAATTTCATATTAGAATGGTAGACTGTGATGTATACTAACGAAAATATTAACTGAAGATCATGTGTTGTACATCCTCCATATGAAGACATAGTGTTCATAGTATTGGTGAAAAAGTAATACAGTATAGTCTGGATTTAAGCAGTTTTTGTTTACACGTTTGGTCATTTACGCGGTGCCTTGCCAGAATGAAATGTTTTAATTACGCGGTAAATTTCATCATTTACGCGGTGAGCAGCTGGAGAGGTGCAGACGCGCCGCGCCATTTTTTACTCGCGTGGTCCATTCTTCACCATACGCGGGTAGCGGCGCAGTGAGGGGGTGCGCATTAGGTCGCTCTTACGTTATTGCTGACGTCATATGACGTATCAGACTGTGATTGGGCCACGCATCCTTACCACCCACGCATTCCCTCCGCCGCTAGCCGTGATTGGTCTAATGTAACATGACGTGCCCTGCCACCAGAAGGTAGAAGTGCTGACCTAGCCGGGCTAGTCTCATTGTTCTCAGTCCGTGTATTCAGTTCTTTCTTGTGCCCGCTATTCCCCTCATAATGGCTTCCGCTGGACCCCCACCACCCGAGAAAAACCTTGAATTACCTGGACCAAGCCATGATTATGTGAAGGAAATCATCGAGTTAGGGGAGAAAATTAAGCTCATCCTTGACAACGACCCAGACAAGCATCAGTATGAAGAGTCTAATAACCATCTGACGAAAGTTATGGAGCCGTATATCCAGATCTATCTCGACAACATCAATGCTAGTCGTCACCGTAGTATTAAGGACTTCTTCGCCCGCAACCCACCACAACCACAGCCAGCCCAAGTCAGTGATAGTGACAGTGAGGATATGGACTTTGAGAGGTTTGTCTGGGAGGCCCTGCAAACCTCTGCGAGTAGTGAAAGTGATTCACCGGAGGGCAACTAATCTGCCCTCTGCCTCGGAACCAGCTGCCATCCATGTGTGCCGACCCATCTTTTCTACTAACGTGTTAAAAAACCTAATATTTTTTATATTTCTCTTAAATATTAATTGTGTGTGCATACCATCATAAAATTAAGATGTTATTTTTACTACAAGGTACGTATTGTGTCGGAAAAAGTGGAGTTTGGGGGTGGGCCCAGTCTCTATTTCAGTTAATCCCACATGTTCTGTTATTTCGTTTACGTGTTTCTCGTTTTCCGCGGACCTCCACGGGTTCAATTGACCGCGTAAATGCAGACTATACTGTAGTTGTTTTATCAGTAGAAATTATCAAGAGTTGTAATGTATTGATGATGTAGTTGTTAGTTGACATTAGTGTAATACTGTATTCCTCCTCCCTCTTTGTTGTGGCTTTTACTGCATCACGTGGATGTGAAGGTAATGGACCTCAGGTATTCATTGATAATTAATCAGCACTTCCTTTCCAAGATGTAGAAGGTTATGTAGAAAGCAGAAAATACAGACAGGCTCAGAGATGCACAGTGATGATACTTTTTTTTTATACAATCATGATATTATTTGTCTTTAGTTATTGCTGTACCCAGTAATTGTGCACACACACACATACATGTATTTTGGTTAGTGAGGTAAGGTTTACAAAGTCCTTCAAGTGAAACTACTGTATATGAAAAAAGGTAATCGTACCTACTTTGGAATCTTATATAAACCTTGTTGGCAGTACACTCTACAGTATCTGTAATGTTTTACCTTATACCCTTAACATTATTTTGTATTTCCTAATTTTAACTGGATCGAGTGCTTGATCAAACTTCCTGTCATAAACGTACAGTATTTTCCCATCCATATATCAGGTGCAGTGAGTGCTACAAGGGAGAGTATGGACTACCTGTTAGGCCGAGAAGGTTCTGGCCGTGCCCTCTGCTTGGTAGTAGGTGGGGCTAAGGAATCACTTGATTGTCACCCCGGCTCGGTTGTGTTACACCTCAACAAACGTAAAGGTTTCTGCAAGATGGCTCTCAGACATGGGTGAGCCCCTGACTTTTCTCATTTTTTCATGTCTACCAAGACATGATTCTTTCTTTGCATAACTTCCTGTTTTACCACTAATCCTCAGCCTGTTTTTCTGTGCAGTAATCTGCTGATATATAAAGTAGATGAATAGTCATGATTACCTTGCCAACTGTTTCCACCCTGTGGGTTGGTATTAGGAATGTCATAATTGTAAAACTTTGGTTCAGCGTGCTTGATAGTATCAGTCACTAAAGCAGTGCCCATCCCCTGGTGTTTGTTACATTTTCTTGGATGGTGCTCTAGGTTTGTTGTTGTGAATAGGATTGATGGGACATCGTGTTCTGGTTTTACCCAACAACTGCCATCAAGTAATCGTGGTTAACTCACACAATTGTGGAAAATGGCCGTAGAACATTGATGATGATGATGATAATAATAATAAAAGTATATTGTGTAACCTGTTGCATAATAGTTGTACAAGTTATTTTTCCTTTAGTTAGATAATATTCTGTTGCATAGTATGGTATAGACGGGTCAAAATATGAAAAAAAAAGGGATACAGTAAGTCCTCGCTTAACGTCTTCCCTCTTATCGTTGTTTCGGTACTACGTCGCTGAACTTTAGAGACCAAAAATTCGTTTAACGTCCCGGTGATCCGATACTACGTTGTTTTGCGTCATCACGCACTACTTTCCACGGCGCATCACACGCTCTTGTCTGGCTGCGCTACGCTCTCTCGGCTCGGCGTGCTGCCCTCACTCACAGCGACGCCAAGCCAGTTTGTTACGACTTTACATCATTCGTGTGTGTTTAAGTGTTTTTGCTCTAAAACTGTACTCTAACCATTCGAAATGGCTTCCAAGTGCCCATCAAGTGCTACTGATGCTATTGTAGTGAAGAGGCAATGTAAGACCATTACCCTTGCTACGAAAATGGATGTATTAACCCGAATTGAAAACGGGGAACGTGCTGTGGACATAGCCGCTGTGCTTGGTCTAACCCCCACAACGGTGCGTACTATCCGGACCAACGCTGACGAGATTATTAAGGTTAGTGCTGGAAGTGGTTCTTCTCTGAGTGCTACTAAGACGACTCGCACTAGAAGCACTGTGATAGAGAAGGTGGAAAAGATGCTGGCAATGTGGATGGAGGACCAGAATCAACGCAATGCCCCTGTGAGCCTTATGTTTATCCAGCATAAGGCCAGATCCTTGTTTGACGACTTAAAGGCAGAAGAGGGTGAAGGATCGAAGGAAGAGACATTTACGGCCAGCCGAGGCTGGTTTCAACAATTTAAGCGCCTTCATAACTTCCACAACATAAAGATGACTGGTGAAGCTGCCAGTTCAAATACGGTTGCTGCCGAGACATTCCCACCAGAATTCAAATGGATTATCCAGCAAGGAGGCTACTCACTGAAGCAATTCTTCAATGTGGATGAGACTGGTCTCTCTTGGAAGAGGATGCCTGAGAGGACCTATATCTCCAAGGAGGAGAAAAGAGACTGCTTGATGCTGTTGCTTGGCGCGAACGCTGCCGGTGACTTCAAGGTGAAGATTATGCTGATATCTCACGCTGCCAACCCACGGGCCCTGAATGGTTATTCTAAGTATCACCTTCCTGTTATTTACAAGGCAGCAAAAAGGCATGGATAACTGACGCCATATTTAGCCAGTGATTAAACGTGTAAGCCGTCCCTGCACTGAAGGAATACTGTGCCAAGGAGAACCTTAACTTAAAAATTCTTCTGATCCTTGACAATACTCCAGCTCATCCTCCCAATCTCGACAACTTGCATGACAGTGTAAAAGTTGTACAGTATTCCTGCCTCCCAACACGACAGCACTGATGCAGCCTGTGGACCAAGGCGTCATCGCCACATTCAATGTGTATTATTTACGCTGTGCCATGCCCCAGCTGCTCAAGGCTACAGACGGAGAAAATAAACCAACAATCCATGAATATTGGCGCGGCTTTAACATTCTTCATGCAATTGACAACATTGGCAAGGCATGGGAAGAGGTTTCAGAAAGTTGCCTGAATGGTGTGTGGAGTAAACTGTGGGCCGAGTGCATCAACAGTTTTATGGGATTCACGGACTTAGTCCCAGCTGTGAATAGGGATATCCTCAGCTTGGCTAGACAGGCAGGCATTGATGAGCTGGAATCAGAGGAATTGAGGACGTCCTGGCATCCCATACAGAAGAGCTCACCAATGAAGATCTGCAACAATTAACAGAACACAGTCCCGTTGAAGACGACGAAGAAGAACCTCAACGAACGCTAACTTCCAAGAGGTTGACAGAATCGTTGAACATGTTCCAGTAAGCAATGCAAATGCTTCTAGATGATGACCCAAACGGAAAACGTAGCTCAAAGGTTCAATGCAGCATTGAGGACAGTCTTGGTTGTTACACCGAGATCTATAAGGAGAAGAAGATGAGTAGCACCAAACAGTCAACACTGGATTAATTTTTTTGTCACGGGACGGCAGAAGGAGCTTCTTCACAACAGCCAGCAGCCAAGGAGGAGCAAACAACAACAGAGGAGGAGCAAACAGCAGCAGAGGAGGAGCAAGTAGCAGCAGAGAAACCCCAGTCAGAGCAGGAGGAGGAGGAGGCGGCAGCTGTAGAGTCTCAGTGACTCACCACCCTCCTCTCCAGCCCTCCTCCGCTGCCACCCTCCTCCTCCGCTCCCGCCATCCTCCTCCTTCGCTCCACTATCCACCACACACTCGCTCTACCACCTCCGCCCATCGGTGAGTACCAATACAAACTTAGTACTGTAGTTCTATTTACTATTTTCTATAGAAATGGCAATGATTTTCTGTATATGTAGCTTTTTATATTGGGTAAAGGGAGGCTCGGGAAGGTAACTCCCGTATTTTATCCATTTCTTATGGGGAAAATTGATCTACTTAACGTTGTTTCGCATAATGTCGCGTTTTCAGGAACATAACCCCGACGCTAAGCGAGGACGCCCTGTACCCCAAAAAATTGATAAGAGATCGTTTTATGGTGTGTTTATGGTGTCTTTTTTATGGTTTGTTGCATAACATATAAAAAGTTGGCCAAAATTGGAGCACCAGAAAGTGTAAATAAATGACGTCAAAAAAAGATGGCTGCAAATATAACAAATGGGTAATTTCAACTAATATGGGCTTCATTTCAGAGGTTTTAACCATGATAAATATGAAATTTTCTCCATATTTTAAATAGGATGGTACCCAAATAATTCCAATATCTTGGATTGAACATCAGAAGTTATATCTTGATGACATCATAGGTGACGTTGTTTATGCTAAATTGCTATGGCCATACAACAGTCGTATTTGATAGTTCCGAGGGAGGACCAAGCATCAAGGACAACACCTATCAGCGATGAAGTCAAAATAAGGTTTTTAACACAGTCAAAACATCTGATGCAACAAAGTTTGTTAGGCGAAAGGAGGACTTTCTCTCAAATGATACCAACAAGCAGGCCATGATCGGTCTAATCTCTGAATGGTTACTGCAAAAAGGCTGCCATGTCATACATGCTGAGGGAGATGTAGACGTAGACAGATAAGGATAACAAAGATCTTTTCTACCGCTCAGATAAATCCAAACCTCATGTGTACAATTTAAAAGTTCTAAAGTGACTATTAGGTGATGATGTCTGTGCTGATCTGCTGTTTGTGCATGCATTCACAGGTTGTGACACAACCTCAAGAATCTTTTGGATTGGAAAAAAGGCTGGGTTCCAAAAAATCATCAAGGGTGATTCTGCCTTTCGTAGTTGCTCGAAAGGTTTCTGTTCACCTAAGGAAGACAAGGTGACTGTTGGAAACACTGGCTGCAAGGCAATGGTTTCCTTGTTCATTGGAAACCAAAGTGACTCTCTGGCATCCATTAGGTGTAGTGCGCTCTGTAAGAAAGTTGCACGGGCAAAGACTTTTGTCACGTCTGAAAGACTTCTGCCAACTGTATTGGCGACAAAAGGTCACTCATTAAGGGGTTACTATCAGGTTATGTTGTCGATGGGCACTGATGGAGACATGGACCCTACTGAATGGGGTTGGAAAGATAAAGAGAATCAACTGATTCCAATCATGATGGAGAAGAGACCTGCACCAGACATTCTTCCGAAAATGATCCACTGCAACTGTTTCACTCTGACACACTAAGATGTAGCTTCAAAAAACATGGACTTGAGTGCACAACTGCTTGTGGGCCTTACCAAGAAGGCATTTGTGAAAACATGGCACATCAGCCAACATCACATGAAGAAAATTAGGTAAGACTGCGTGTGAAATTTGTTCTGGAGGGTTGATTAGTACATTTAACAACCCTCTGGATTTCACCTTATTGGGTAGCTGGTCATAGAAGGGGTTAATGTTGCATTTGCTTTACTAGCAATTGTTAAAGTAAACTTTCAGACTTTCATGCCTTGCATGTTAATTGGCTTCAATGATTATGTGAAGCAAAAATAAAAATTTGGTACAAACTAGTCAGGGTTTTCTTGAAAACCATTTAAAAGTTCCTTTGGGGACATCCTGTACAGTACTGTACACTGGAAAAAATCCATTAAACTTATATGCACTTCTGCAAATTTATGGATCTCTTCTTCAGTTACAGTGAAAAGTTACCCAAAGTTTGATGAAGGGCATCTTGTGACGTTATGGCGTCACAAGATGTGACGCCATATGTGTGTGTGTGTCTAGACACACACACACATATATATACAATATAGGTAAAAGAAATTACTGTCTCTAGAATGAATGGCTCCCTGTCTCGACCGCAAAAATGCCAACAATTTTAAAACTACCCTTAGACATTCTTGGGTACATCCAGGGTGTCATACGCAAATAATCGAGGTCCACGAATTAAAAATCCACAAATTGTCAGGGCATGCTGTATTGCCTTTTTAATATAATGAAGGAAATTAATTCTTTCACCTTCTAAAGGCAGTGTGTAATTAGATTATGAATGTGTAGTGGTAGTCTTCCCTGAGGTCCCAGATTGTGCAAAAACTATTATAGAATATAATACAGTACAGTACATATAACGGAATGGAAATGTTTAGGTAATTGCCATCTTTGGGAGACAGTCATTTCTGCACTTTGCATTTCTTCAGTATACAAATATACGAACATAGTACAGAGAGAAGTTCTTAATAACAATGAAGGAACAAAAGTTTTTGGTAAAGAAATATACGACGTGGCTGTTAGTCAGCACTCTTACATGCCTCTGGTTGGCTCACCTGGCAGTCGATAAAATAAAAGTGTATTGCACAAAGATAATGCCCCCCCGTGTAATTGATGTAATGCGCATGATTGTGATGCAATTGCAAGCAGGGCTGACTTAAAGGTAAGGCAAACAGGGCAGTTGACCAGTGCCCCCATTACTGTATATTAAAATTGAAAATGGATAATAAAAATCAGTGTAGTAAAACTTAGAAATAAAAATACAATTGATCCGTTTTTTTAAACAAATACTGTATGGTAAAACTTTGTCAAACATAGAAGGATTGAACGATGATCTTTTGTTAATGTTCCCCAATTGGCAACATTGCTACAGGAGCTCCCAGATTGTAATGGACAAGCAGGCAGTGTAGGCTGTCTCTCAGTTGCTCCAGACTCCTGTATATATTTTTACTGAGGGGTGGATGTGAATGTAATATTACGGGACTTATTAGTGCAATGAAATACAGAAGTTGGAATCAGTGAAGACAGTTTATTTTTATCATCATTGGTCATTCTCATTAATGATGTTTATGAAAAATTTGAATTGAACCACCATGGGACACAGTGTTTCACTAATCTTTCTTGTATGAGTTAAGAATCTGATAGTGTGTGTTATTATACCCTGTACATGTGTTTGCATATGAGAAAGCCTGAAAAGTTTTATTCTGATTGAGTAATGTTGATTGTCTTACATATATATTTCATTATGTTTTATCCAAATATGCAGTTTCAGTATTCAGATGCATACTAAAATAGATGGATAGTAGCATATTAAAAGTATAAAAGTACCAAAAATATCCCTAATCTGATCCCTAGTCCTGGGCATCTTTTATCTTAAGTTTGTCCCTGGTTGCAAGATTTACCCAATCTTTATACAAAAATATTGATTTTATTCTGTTTCAGGGCTTCACTTGTACCAATGTTTTCTTTTGGTGAAAATGAGATTTACGACCAAATTGCAAATCCCGAGGGTTCATTCGTACGTCGCTTTCAAAATGCTCTCCAAAAACTCATTGGCTTGGCTCCATGTATGTTTATTGGCCGAGGCGTGTTTCAGTACAGTTTGGGTATTGTTCCCTTCCGCAAGCCCATCTATACTGTTGGTGAGTAATACTGTCTGTGTAGATCTTTTGGAATATGTATTGTGTGATGAGAAGTGCAATGAATAAATTATTTAAACACACTTAGCTTCTTACCCAAAGCAGTTAATGTATCTCCCGTACATTGCCATACTCATAATTTCTGCCTTCTGATTAGTGTCCATATGCACCTTATTCCTTCAGTTTTATTTTTCACCGGTATGTTAAGTTACCAATTACTATAGGCTATTGTTTCTGCTTTGACACCAGGTTTTTATCATGAAGATTGTACTGTAGATGTTTTCTTTCTAACACAAGGGAAATCCACAGTTTCTGCTTATATTCTATACCTCTCAAGTAACAAATTTTTTGAGGAACCTATGAATCATTGAATAAGGTTATATGTTCTTAAGAATTTATTTATTTAGGTTAATCTGACACCTTTTGTTTCAGTTGGCACTCCAATTGATGTCCCCTTGGTGAAGAACCCCACTAAGGAGGAAATTGTGGGTTTACATGAGACTTATGTCAATGCTGTGATTGATCTCTATAACAAGTACAAACACAAGTATTCTGAGTTCCCAGAATGTGACATTAAGATTGTTTGAAGAAGACAAAACTAATTCCAGCTTTTAAGTTTGAAAGAGCTTATGAATGAACATTTTAAAGTATAATTAAATACTGCATTTGTTTGAGTATGTCTTGCGTGCAAGAAATTTGAGGCTGCATTACAGCCAGGTATTTTATGAATTTGGGGGCATTATTAATTCTAAGTATATTTGCTTTATCTAACCATCATCTTTGGGACCATAATTTATCTTGCTTTCCAAATCTAAAAATCTAAAAATTTGTAGAGAATTTTAGAACAATGTCTTGTGGCTGCGATCATGCAGCATTGCCTTAATATTTTAATTAGATTAAATACATGTGGAATCCTGTGGTAAATTCAAAATGCCTTAAGAAAATTGCAATGTTTATAGAAATGTAAGTTGTGGAATTTAAAATTTACGGACGGTAATTGCTTATTTGTGGGGGGAAAAAGTGACAGTTATAAGCAGAAAAATGTAAGTGGATAATGGTTGGTTAGGAAATTACCAAGAGTTTTTGTCGCATCTGAGGAACTTGGTGCAATATATGAAATAGATTATTATATATTTTTTGTTAATATTGAAGATCAATGCAAGAATATGTAGGTGATATTGTATTTATTACCCGTACTGTAATATTGTATCTTCATTATAGATTTATATGAATAAGGTATCATGAATTATGTGGAAGTTATTGATATAAGTTAGGAATTACATTAAACTTCTAGAAGAATAATGGAGGAAATGTTTTCGTGCACAGCTCTGTGATGATCCCAACAATAGAAGGCCTCGTCATCTTGAATTTTTTAAAGTATAATTCCCAGTACAGTACAGGACAGTATATATCCTTGTAAGTAACCAGTGTATATTTGTACACATGTCATACAGTACTCTGACCATAGAGCAAAAATTTTATTACTATGTATATTTTATTTTATTTGTTAACTCTATTTAGTTTTTAGAGGTTGGATGGCATGTTATATACGGTATGTTTTTACACTAATTTTTAATGTATTTTTTTAACTTAGATTGTTAGTAATAATTTTAATGTTGTTTTGATGATAATTTTGGTTGTGATTAAGCAGTACAATATTTTATTGATGACAAAAAGTTTGCATCTTTATTTAATGCTGTCATAAAGTGGGTTATCCTTATTCTTTTCTGTGAATGACATTTTCCTTTTAATGAGTTTTTTGATAATATACTTGCTGTTACCTGGTACTTACTGAGATGTCCTGTATGCTGATCTAAGGTTTAAGGAAACACAGTTGAATTTAAGCTTATTTCCACTTTCTCTGTGTAATTCTGGAGTAACGTATATAACTCGTATGTAGAATTATAGGGACTGTAGAGGAAATTATGTATTTGATTACACTATAACCTTCCTTTTATACCTGTCACTAGATTCATTATTACCATGACAGAGTTGTGTAGTGGATGTTGGGAAATAATTCACTCACTATTTTAATATGCATTTAGAGGTGGAAAATTGTATCATCTTATAGTTGGGAAAATGAGATTAATTATATAACTAGCTTTAGGTAGTTAAGCTGAAGTAACTTACTGTATATCTGTTCCATCTAGGATAAGATATGACTGTTTTTATTTTAAAGCAATTTGTCTTCCCTTTAAAGGACATTTTAGGGGTTTATTAATGGTACAAAACTGTTTTAGAGCTTGTGTGTGAACAGGGGATGGTGATCGTACATTTATGAGACCAAAGTCACTAAAGTTAGGTTAGCTGTGAAACTTTAACCTTTGAGACTGTGGTTAACAAAAGAATAAAAATTATGAATTATTTACTTACATTTGTTCAACTTTGGTGGAGTGTGAGTGAGTGGTGTGGGGCTGAGCTACGGTGCTAGGAGTGGTGGGGGCAGATTACCACTAACAGTATCGAATATGCCACTTCCATGATGACACAGGCAACTGATTGGCCATATAAATGTGTGGGTAGTGTTAGGAGGCTTACTAGGAAGGGACACAAGTCAAGTGTTTTGAATGATGCACAATTTAAAAAAAAATACAAATTGTTTCTCATGATGCATTTTGCAGTTGTACCGGTGGTCTCATAAGAAACATGTTGCCGTTAAAAGGATGGCAAAATAAAATGCTAATATACAGAATACCAATAGTGATTTTTGGTCCCATAGATGCACTGATATCTCCTGAACACACACACAAGCTCAAGAACAATATCATGCCACTTTGAACTCCTGAAATGACCTCTTAAGAAAATTACTGTAGGTCATCCAACTTTTTTGTCAGTAGCCGATTCTTATAGTAACTGTGTTCTTTGGTGGTGCTGAAATAATGATATTTTGGGTTGCTCTCTATGCTATTCTACTGTACCCAGCCATTACTCTTCTTTCTTGAGGTGTTTGTTCCCCCATTACTTTAACCCTCTGAAAAAATGTCAAAGAGAAATAAAGATATACTGTATCTATATAATTAGTTTTTACTGAATAGGCAAGAATTTGTTGTAATTTTTGTTGATGTACAGTATTTTATTTTTTTCTGTACTTGCTAAATATCATAATTAGTGATGAATTTGTTTACAAGAAGAATTGCTGTTGCCTGTCATTCAAGCCCAGTAACATGCTTTTATTTGATCATTGAATTTAATATTTGTAGAGAAATCTGTCAACCTTAAATATTCCATAGTTTATAAGGAAAAGGATTTATATTAAAGCCTATTTTAAAGGTAGATATAGTACAGTATATAGACATATGATATTGTTGATAAATGAATTCCAGCTGCATACCAGTAATATAGTTTATGGTTAAGAATCATTGAAACGTTATACTGTATATGAATGCCACATCTCATTCCAAAGATATCCCTTCACCTATTTTCACTGTTACCTGGAGTATAGCCTTTTGAGAAAGATGGTTTAAAAGGAAGTTGATATAACACCTTTAGCTCATGGTTTAATTACTAAAGAAAAGTTATTAAACTGTGAGAATGGTGGTTAAGCAAGATGATGGTTTAATTGCATGATGAAATGATAGATTAATCATCATACTCAGTTGGTTAAGGTCTGAATATCTTGCTGTCCCAAAATATGAAAGAAATTGGATTATAAAGTCACCCAAGTGAAACTAATACAGGTATCCCACGGTCTAAGATCTCCCTATCTACGATATTCTGCTTTAACGATGGTGATGTATTAAAATCTGGTCTCTTGATTCTGGGAACTGTGCATCATAACATAAAGGATTTGCAAGAGTAACAGAATATGAGAGGCAATTCTTGAAGTTTATGGGTTGTGTTGGTTTAGTTCTATGGATTGAGTGACAGAATCATATTTTATTTGAACTTTTATTCCATAGGTTTTTGTTGAGTTTATGTAAAGATATACCCGGTATATATGTTGAAGAAATAAATGTGCCCATTTATCTTTATGGAAATGTAATTGAATTATGCTGTATGTGCATTTGTGTATAATTGTTAATTTAAAGAAGAAATTATAACTATAGATCATGGATGATAATTTTTTTTTGCACATAGAACAACGTGAACACCAGAGCCTTGACAAAATAGACTTGCCTAGGTTTTAAGTTCATATTTAGTGTGAAAATTAGAATGAAAAATTTGTTGTTTTTGGGTGTTATTTACTTTAAACATTTGTCTGTATTTAAGAATTAAGGATTTTTTCTTTCTACCACAAGTGTTCATTTTTAGCTGCATTAGTTGATTTAATATCATTCTAACTGACAGAGATAACCTTCCAACCAACATGAGCCAACAATGTACAATATGTGGCCAACTCTTGGTTATTCTTCTCTTATGACAGTTTAAAAGGTTATTTGAGGGTTCAGAGATAGCAAGATATACTGGTTTTGAAATTATGTGTGTATAAAAGATATTAATATGGAGTTTATAGGTCAGAAGATAACTGCTTCTTCCCATTTGTAAACTTTTGTGGTGTTGATCCTGGTACAAAATTCCTTTGGAATGGGGAAACAAAAATGCCCAAACCAGATGAATTTTTGTTACAGTACAATGTTTAGGGGTGACCCTAAAGGTTCACATTTGGTATGACAGTAGTCAATTTTTTTCCCCAAATCATATTACTGTACTGTATTAATGCCTTCTGTTCACGCATGTCAGTAATAACAGTATCATGCTATCTTTAGATCCTTGAGATGAGCCTTTGTGTGCAGGACCCCTTCTGAGCTGAATAAAATCATCTGGTTTTAGCCAAATAAATTTTTAAAAGTAGTGTGCCTGTAGTGAAGGGGTAAATCTGCTCTGTAGATAAAATACTTATGGCTCCTTGAATAAAAAAATACACCATTGTTTAGAAAAACTCACTGAATTTTGAATGAAAAAGGACAGGGCTTTTACTACTTAAATCCTGTCTTTAATTTTTAGTGAATATTATATTTAATAGTTACCAATTTCTTCACTTCTCATTGCCTTATGTTACTATGGTAAATATGATACTTGTACACAGATTACAGGTACAATACTGTAATTTGCTTGTATCTCCATGACACTGCATTTATTATCAGGTTAAGGAGGAGGCTGGGTTTTAATTGTGTGGTGTGAGGTTGTTGTTGTTGTTAAGTACATGTTGTGTAAGTGAGATACTGTATTACCATGAGTGAGTGGTTTACTGTGACCCCCCTGCCCCCTTCTTTTGTTGTACTCAGGATTTATCATTGTTCAGTTATGTACTAAGCTTGTGGTGTACAGTTATTGCTGTGTTCACTTGTGTACTCGATCTGTAGAGTAACATTATTGTTGTTTTTGTTCTGGTATTCACCTAGAATATGTGGTGCTCATTTGTGATAAGTTGATGTAAGTTCATGTTGAAAGATTGCCACCTGTAGGAACAATTGTGAGTATCAGAAAAGCAAATCCCAGAGGTGACCTGGTTTCAGAATAACAAGTAATAATTATGAAATATACATCAGTAACCACTATGGCTGCTGTTGAGTTGTATTCTCATACTTATTGCATTTTTGGGGGGTTATGAAAAGTTCTGTATTTTAAGTTCATAGATGTGAATAGTTTAAATATTTTCCTTAGATAAAACCAAAAATATACCTATTAAACTAGACATGTATTTTTGATGGACAGCAAAGAAAGTTTTCTGTAGACTTATCAGAGTCTTATGACAACTGAATACTTCCAGTACACATGTCAAGTGTTTTGATTAAGTTTACATTTACTGATATAGAGGATTTAAGGTGTTTTAAGAGGTGAGCTGTTCAGATTCCTTGTAGTACAGTAGTTTCATTTTAAAATATAAATAATTAATACAACTTGTCTTCTTCAGGCCATTATGCCACAGCAAATCAAAACAGATTATGGAGGAGACTTAAATGTATGAAAAGGTACCATATACAGTATATTATACAGTACAGTATATGTAATATCCCTTGAAGTTCTTTAGTGTTTTTAAATGCAGGATTATGATCATGATAAGGGATTTAGTTGTCTCCCTATCTCACAAAGTTAGGACTCTTGGATAATAGCACAAAATACGTGTATACTGTATAGGAGTGCATGTGATACTGAATATTGATTTTTGGTGCTAGCTCAGCTTGTCAACATGAATTATGTAGGAGACTCGTAAGGGTGAACAGAAAAGTGGGGTTGATGAATAACTGTGTACTAATACAGACAGATGTATTCTCTTGTGGATGCATTCCTGTAATGGAAATTTTTTCTGCAATAAAGTAAAATAGTTTGTGTACTTTGTTTGCCTGATTCAGTTACCTTTTATTCTTTTGTATTGCAATTTCTCAAATAAAAAGACTAACAGATATGCTGTAAAATTTTGTAATGAAATTTCCCACGTTCACAGACTAATGCGAACATAATTAAATACTGTATAGTACATTACTGCACCTTTATATATACAAGAACTTGTAATTCATGTTGTACAATACTGTATCTTCACATTCACAGTACTGTAGAATGTTTGGAGAATTTTTTTTTTGTGTGTGTGGGGGGGGGGGTGAATTTGGCCGTCACGCATCAAGCTTGTACTGTATTGTAGATATAAGGAAGACAAAACACTAGTCATGTAACACTAAATCCTTTAATCTTTCCATACTTTCATGTGTTTCCAACCTTTGTATAAACTTTTACAGTATTGACTTCATACTGTTGCTGTGCTAAAGGCAGTCTTAAGTTCTAACTCGCAGGTGTCATGGCAAGTCTCGGCACCATCACGTGGCCATTCTACGCGTGAAAAACACTCGGGCGTTATATGGCTTTCTGCGAAACAACAAATCTATTATTGTTTATATTTGGTAATTTTACTGTTTTACTATGAGTCAGTTTTGTATTAACTTCGTTGGGGATAGTTTTACCACATCACGCCAAGATATAGTTTCTGACTTCCTAGTAATTTGGGTGGTTAATTAGAATTCACTTCTTTTATCAACTCGTCCGTGTTACTGGGTACGTAGGCATTTCATCAAGTTAATAATCTATTATGGTACAGTTCTTTGTATGAAGAACCTTTATAAGTGTATTTTTTACTTTATTCTATTTACATTGATCACATTACTTTTCACGACACGAGGGACAGATCTTTGGCTTTGGTACTAACTTGGTGATGCTGTCATGGTTTGAGAATTTAAAGTGTGATAATTTCTCAATGAATGGTGTCTGCTTTTAAACCAGGCTGTGAGGTAGGAAAATTTTTTGGAATGCTTTGACAACAACAAATAATATTAAGTTAAACGACTGTAACTAAATAATATAAATAACTGTACCTGATTGGTAGGATACAGCTATTTTACATAAATCACGTCATTACCTTAATAAAGTTCTAAATTAAAATCGTATAAGTTAAAAACGAGCCGGCTCGTCAAGGAATGATTTTTAAATAACGAAAGAATTTCCTTTGGGTGTGAGGAGGGTGAATGTCTGTGAGTGGGAACACCTTGACCTGGTGAGTGACATGTTGGCATAAACACCAGCTCTCATATTTACAATATTATACGTCTATTAACTACATACGAAAATCAGCACACACACACACACACACACATATATATATATATATATATATATATATATATATATATATATATATATATATATATATATATATATATATATATATATATATATATAATTTTTTTCCAGCAAATATCGGCCGTTGACAGCCAGCAAACCCCCAAAAGAGTCAAGCTAAGTTTCTCTTAATTTTTAGTTGATACGAAATGTACATTATTTACTAATCTATGATGCATGCTTAAATTCTAAAAAAAAAAATTATTTCATGGAATGCAGCAGTACTGATGTTGGTGTTGAACAACATCGGCAGAAATAGTATTTTTGTGAATTGGATTCATTTACTTGTGTACAAACTACAAGAGGTGTTTAACGATCCTAGTGGAGAGAGCGCATGTGAGCAACAACAACAGCTGAAATAGGTGGAAGTATTTGCTTATGAGATAAAAGTTTGTTGTGATGATTTATTAACCTGTACTGAGGATAGTGGTGGAGGTTTATGAGAATGCAATACTGGAGATGGTGGTGAAATTAATGATGTCATGGAGTGGTGGTTTGGTTGTATAATTATTAGTGGTGCTAATGGTTGTGGTACGAGGGTTGAGGTTTGTCATGGCATTTGTGCGTCACCGCCGTCTATTGTGTGATAGTATTGTTGTTCGGGACTATTGTACCTCGGAGGTCAGGGTGACTACTGTACTTAAGACCACGGAAGTCCTGCTGACAGTGACTTCAGTTTTAATAGGATTTTGTTAGCATACACACACACACACACACACACACATATTTATATAATAGGTTTTCAAGTGACCAACCATTCTCTGATGTGTACACCACAATATGTATGTGAGGTGTTTGGCGGATATCTAAGCAACTTTCTCAGCGGGACAAGGCGAACGAGTGTCAATTCTGTACCTGTATACGGATATTTCATTTCACCGTACCTGTATTTGAGAGAGAAAGAGAGAGCCACCCTACCTCACACCTCATCAATCAGTGCCGGATTTAGACCTGTGGAGGCCCATGGGCAACCTCATTATAACTACCCAAGAGTGTGGGGTGGCGAGTGAAGCGAGCCTAAACATCTTGGAGTTCCGGAATTCTAAATATATTATTAGCAACACAAACAATAGCATTCATTAAAAATATACGGTTCATAGGAAAACCAGTTATTCATGATTTTCAAGGAGTAGCTAGCCTAATTTCTATCACGCTTCCTGCTGAACATAGTTTTACGTGATGGAATAGATAAACATGAATTTTAAAGAATGAAAATAAAAATAATCCAAATGAATTAACAAATAAATAAAATATTGTAATATGTGGAGGCCCCCAGATTGTGGAGGCCCCTGGGCAGCTGCCCACTTTGCCCACTCCTGAATCCGGCCCTGCCATCAATTCTATTTCCTGTTACTTCCCCCTGTCATTGTATCCGTTATTACTCATGCCTCCCGTTTTACTCTTAATTTTGTTAACTAATCTTTTATTTCATTTGAGGTGTTATTGCTTTTACTTTTACTTCTCATTGGTATTTGTTTCCAATTCTATTGTTTATATAATATTTATCATTACAGAACTGTACTTATTTTTACACTTCAGGTATTTAACATTTCATAGCCTATTACTTGGATAATTATTCTTAATATATTTTGTTACAATTACAGTTATTATTGGTGGTAAAAGCAATATTAAAATCAATAAAATGGATTTTTTTTAGTATAAATGGATTATATTTAGGTAATTTTAGTGTAATTTTAGGACATGTATTTTGGGAAAGGCATTCTCATTTTTTTTAATAAATTTCTGTAAGTGCACACTATTTTGGAGCAGATATTTTATTTTTACATTGTCTTGAAATGACATACTGCATTCTTGTTAATGAGAATCGAACGGCCACCATCCAAACAGTGTCGTGAAATAAACACTGACTGCCCGGCTGCCTAAGGTTATGTCTCAAGTGTCTCACATCACAGTAAGTACACTGTTATGTCACCTACGTGGTTCCTTAGTCCTGTGGCTCTTATGACCTTGGGCCTGACGTCAGCCTGCCTTACGGATCTGTTTTTGTAATGCGATAATTTACGTTACTAACTGCACCAAGTTTTTCCTACACTCCCCCTGCGAGGTGTCATGTTCTTTATAATGTTCAATAAGTGGAATATATTAAAAGCTGTTATATTTACCATAGTGATCTTATAACGTGTATAGAATCAAATAAAGACAGAATTACCCTTCAATGTCAAGTCTTTGCAGATAATATGAATATTATAAGCAAGGTCTCCTTGATTTTAAGTGCATTCTTACACATGAATTCGTTGTTTCAAAGAAAAAATCCAAATAATGACAAACTTTAGTTTAAGAAAAAATAACAGTAAGCGTTGCACTTGTTCATTTGATATTTTAATAAGTTATGCTTGTTACTCACTAAGTTGTTTCAAACACCGTCCAACAGGTCGTAGTTTCTTCACGTATCTTGGAGTATATACTAATCCCCACGGTGTATCCTGGTATACAGTATTTTGGCCTAAATTCACCAAAGTACAGCCTCACCCAAAAGTTCGTTAACTCTCCCAGGCAGTGCAGCACCTGCTTCAGATGTTTGAAACTGTCTCAGTACCAACCAGAACATGAAACCGATACAAATGAATCTAAAGGTTCGAAGTAACAGACTCAAGTTCATACAGCTGAAGCAGGCAGTGCAGCAATTGCTGGCTGGGAGAGTAAATGAACTTTTGGGTGAGACTGTACAAATAGCAACACTGGTATCGTCCTACCTGGGCTATATATTTAATCTTGACTTCTTTTTTACCGTTGGCTAGCTGGTAGGTGGCTTTATTCAGTGGCATCACTGCAGGCACAAAACTCAACTTGGTAAGTTAGCCAGCTGGTAAAGAAAGAGTATTCACTGGCATCCTAAAATATTCTACCTGTGCTTGCTATTATTTTGAGGACAATCGATAGACTTCACTTGTACAGATGTTTGCATCTCTTAAAAGTTAAAAAATTTCTCACGTGTTTGAAGCTAATACCAAGTGATCGAACTAGTTAATATTATGTACTCTGCTGTGCGGTGCGTGTAACAGCCAACACAGGCTCAAGGTCGCGTTAGTACTGTATTTAGATCAGCCTTGCTGCTTGACTGGTATGGTTGGGTCCTCGTTTGACTCATGCCATTTAAAACAGAGGTAATTAAAAGGATTTAAACGAGTTGTTTTTTAACAATGGTAGAGGTGGGAACTATTTTGGTTGATTCAGTCTGTGTGTATGTATGTTAGGAAATACATCTATAACTAAAGAACCAATTTAGATAAATACTGCACACAGGCACAACATCTTGAGAGAAATATTGTTTAATATTGGTGACAGGTGGACTACGTCAAGGTCACAGCGGAAGGTAAGAGAACTCTGGTAAGATACACGACATTTTTGAGTACTGTACTGTACACTAAATATGATCAATGTGTGAAATACTCGGGTTTTCTGAGCGTGTTAGACCATGTATGTACTGTGATGATTAAAACCAACAGCTATTAAACATTGTTACATTATAGTAAGTTTTAGTTGGGGGGACTGTTTTATTTTTTTTTACTCAGAATCGCGATAAATAGCTGTAGTATAAATATTATGAATGGAAGGTCGTTGCTTTCAGAAAGAAGTGTCAAAACAACCATTGGGAAATGTGTTATGGTATGTCCTGGAATTTTAATTTTATTGGTGTATCT